TGTTGCTACACAATGGAAATAGCTCTTAGCTCCCTGTGTACTGTGCCAAGCAGGGTTCCTTTAAAGCCTCATGGAAAACGACAGTTGTGGAAATACTCTGCCAATGCATAAAGCAGGAAAGGAAATTTTAAATCATTTGGGTTTTCAAATAAATGTCACATAACTCATGTCTACAAATGTACATACAGAACCTGCAGCGAAGCAGCAGTATGGTTGCGTGATGATATTGGCACTGTGCCAGAAAACTCGTCATAGCTTCTGAATCGCAAACTTTAATGGCTGTTTTGAATTAGATTTTAAAAGGACCCTGTGCTCAAGTTTGTTAAGGTGCAGCTACTGAAGAATTCACATGTGTACAAGACAAGAATATCTTTGAAAGTATTTTATGTGCACACTTGGCTCTGTTATTGGCTCTGTAGAGCCAAAGAGAAGCAGACTATCCTTCATTGCTATTCTTTTTTTATATTGTGTACTGTTCAGTGCAACTCCTTTTTACATTTTTTAAAGTTGCATCTTAAAATTACCCATTTGTGAAAAAATCAAGTCATTATTTTACTCGTCTGTGTACTGTAATGACACAGCTGAGAGCCGATGTTGCATCCATTTAAATTATAGGCTCAAAGTTTGGGTCTATTTACAGACATATAAAATTACCTCAGCAAGTCACTACCAGCTCATTACCAGCATTAGAACTGGCAGCCAGTCCTTCAAGGACAATTCTCTAATGACACCACGTGTTTCCTATAACGTCCATTTGGAGCTCACTCTCTGGACCAAAAAGAAACTCGCAGAAAGGACGAGTCCAACTCTGGAGATTAACCATAAGTGAAGTGATGCTTGACATTTATTTTATCAGTCAGTGAGTTTTTCTAAAGGATATTACACAGTGTAAAATGAGTGAAAGTCTTCTTTTTTTCTGCATGCGTGTGTGTGTGCTCCAAATCTGGAGAGGCCGGTGACAGATGTAACAGCTGCCTGTCTGGGCTGTGTGTAGCTGATGGGACTGGGATCTCCTTGAACATCCTTCTGTCTTTCTCATGATTTGATGTTCAAAACCAAACTCAGATCTAAAGTTTGCAGCTTAAATATTATGTTGATGCTGATTTCTTTATTTATTTTCATATCAATGCTCAAAAGTAAAAATGAGCCAAGAATAAAATGATTCAAATGTGCAAATGAACAAACTAAATAACTGTAATGATGTTTCAAGTTTTGTGCAAAACATAAAATCAAGCAAACAAAAAGCAATGTGGAGGGATTACTTTTTTCTCCTTTGTAGATTACATCATGCAACAGCTGATGTTGCTTATTTATCTGATACTTTTCTGAACTGACTGCATGCAGACTAAATCCAAGTCAAGATTTAAAGGAAGGAAAAATAATTAAAAATAGCAATAATGTTTCTACCCAACTTTCACAATGCAACACTGGCATAAACTTGGCCTAAGAGTAAAACTGCACACAATTACCCTCAATATGGGTTTAATTGGAGCATTACAAAAACCTGCCTTTCTTTATTGTAATTATTTATTTACGTTATCATAACTTCCACTCCTAACTGAGTCAGTAGTGTTTTTGTTTAAATACGAAGTTTAAAAAAAGCATTTTGGCAGCATGGGACTAACTCTTGGCAGTCGTGTGCTCAGTTCTAAACTCTCCAGAAACAGTCGGGCTACAAACGACATTTAATGTGTCTGAACACCTTTCAGAACTTTTCGTGTGGAGCATACTTAAACGTGGCAACTGTGATATTCCTTTAATGTTTTTATTTGCTATTTTATGAATGACTGATTAAAAATCCCGCTGTAAAAAAAACCCATAACTTAGTGTTGAAGTGATCCATGTTGTCATCGTTGCACGAACACACAACGGCAAAATGTGTCCTCTGCATTTAACCCATCACACGTGAGACAAAGTGGAGCAGCAGGCATCTATTTAAGCACCCGGGGCGCAGTTAGGGATTAGGTGTCTTGCTTAAGGACACTGCAGCATGTGGGCATGTCGGGGGGGAGTTGAACCTGCGATTTTCTGGGTCCAAAACACCACTGTTCCACAGTCCCCCCCACCCACCCCTTTTATTTGTGCCGCCCTAAGAAATCACTGAGATGCAGGAAATTAGTAAAGAAAATAAACAGCGTACTTAGATTTATTGTGCACTGTGCCATGTGGAATGTGCATGCACATCTCAGTCAGTGGGGTCTGGGCAGAGGAAATTAGTCGGATCCCCCACCCCCACCCACCGCCACCCATCCCACCCTCCAGGGCAGGGATTACTCTAATGACTTTGAGAGCAGTCTTGTGCACTGTCATTTCTGACCTCTGATAGTCCACTTCCTTGAGAAGAAAAAAAAAAAGACAAGCATGCACAGACTCTCGCTCAAATATTTACATGCACGAACATGCATTTTTTTTTAATGCACATCCTACATCTTTCACACAGGGCAGTGTGACGTTCGGCACAGAGTCAAATAAAAACAGCAACAAAAAAAGATCCTCTGGAACGCGTCACATTTCCAGCCAGTGCTCGTTTTTGCTTTCGTCAAATGGCGTGCTGCTTCTTCATGTTGCACTGCATTGGGCTTTTTTGTCAAACTGCACCACGGTTCCATACGGGTGCACCTCTGGAAGGTCGATGAATTTGTCACATACATAAGGACTTATGTTGCTGCTGCTGCGTTCATCTGTACTTATCTGCTCACACAAACTCATGTTTGTGCTGCTGTTCGGCATATTGTTTTTGTGCTACTAGTGCTGAGCGTATTCTTAGTTCATATCTTAGCTCGTATTACTGTTTTTTTTTTCCTTTTACTTTTTTTTAATGTATACTTTTGTTGGGTGTAACTAGGACCCTGTGTCCACAATATCGTTCCACCATATGTACCACGTCTGACGCGAACGACAATAAAGAAAAATTGACCTTGCCACAGAAAAATGAGGAAGCGTTATTTTTTAAATATATTTTCAAACCTGTTTTCACTCAGAATCCAATGTGCGAACAAAGAAAAAAAAAAAACATGCTTTGAAAGAAAAGTTTGACAAAAGTAAAAAATAAAATAAAATAAAAGTGCCAGGCCACATAAGCAGCTTGTGTGTGAGATGTAAACCTTTATCTCCTATAAGCACATTACTTTTAACTGATCTATTTAAGAAAGGGAGCAGTGGAAAACAAGAACACACAATGTATGATTTTATTTTTTTATACTAAATCAAAGTAAAACACTTTAGAACCCCTGCCACACAAATTCATTTAGTTAGTGAAGCAAAGCCCAACTTCTAAGTGTAGGAGGAATGATCTCCGCTTTTAAATGATAAAACTCATAAAGATAAGTGAACAGTTGTCCTCCCTGAAGCCATTCAGTCCAATGTTGTGCTTAATAGGAAATATCAAAATATAGCAGTGCTGCTGCTCAGATCAAACAGGATGTAATTAGATAAATTGAGAAAGAAGGGGAGCAGCTTGGTTGTAAATTGCATGGTGTGCGCATGCTAAGACCCAAAATGGGCACAGCTGCACGGAGCTGCACTCACGATTTATCATCTCTACATCGCAGGAGCCAGCGGCCCACACCACTATTAATCATCAGCAAAATCATTTAATTCAGCCCAAGACCGACTATTGTCTCAGTCTCTCCACTCGCTCGGGACAAATCAGCCACCACAGCAGCAGCACACCCACCTCAGTTGGGATACAAGTGGTGGGTTAAAAATGCTTTTTTCTTTCTTTTTTTTTTTTTATGGGGGACAGGTGTGTAACCGCATCATCACAAAGGCAGATGGTACAGAACACCACTTTTATTATCTGTTTGTTTGTTTGTGTGTAAATTTAGTCATAAATCAGCAACTGCAACGTGAGGCATTACTAAAAACGAGTTTATTACTCAGTGTTAACTATGTGTGTTATTTTAATAAAACAGTGCTCTTTTTCTTCACGCACAGCTTCGCAGGGTTGTTGTTAAACTGCAAAGCGTTGTTCAACCCAGATTAAAGTGGAAAAACCTTACTATTCTTTCCAAGTGTATTTCAGAGCACCGCTCTTCCTGTTTCAAAAATTGTTCTGAAATTCAGAAATATACTTTTTTTACATTTACACCAGTGTAGTAAAATAATGATGTTGAAGAATGTCAGCCTTTAAGCTGCCTAAAGAGCACACACAGTGCACGATTCGCTAAAGAAAAGCCGAGCTTCTCCTGCTCACAACAGTGGCTGACTTCTACTTGCACCTTCTCCGGCGCCCACTCAGATGCCTGTCGTGGTTTCGCCCTCTTTGCACCCCATCGCCCAGAGCGTGTGTGACTGAGGCCAACATCCAGACCCACTGACAAGCAGGATGAGGCTGAGCATAAACTGGGAAGGCCAAATGGTGACACGCGAATTACAGTAAACACACAGAGACTGAAAGAAACGAGAGAAAACACAACACAAAAGACATGCGCGCCACAAATAATTACACCGCGCAGCAAAGAGCATGAGAAGGAACCAAATATGTGCACGTTTAAAACACGCAACAGCAGAAGAAACTCCTTTAGACAGATGTGATCAAAATAAACTGCCATCCAGGGAAACGATCCGGCTTTTAGGTGTGCACATATTAAAACAGACACACATGCTTAAGACACGAGCGCGCACATGTGCACGACAAGTACACAAATCACTTCACAATGAGCAGAAAACGTTTGTGTGTGTGTGATCATCATGAAGAACAACAATGTGCTCCCAAACACACAACTAATTCAAGTGACGATCACCTTTGAGGAAATAATTTAATGTGATTGGGACGGATGGAATATTAGCAGAAACATGGCAACTCTGCTGTGGATTTATTGTTTGCTGTTAATTCGAATCAAATTGTGAGGGGGAAATAAAAAGTGTAGTGTGTCAGAAAAGCACATTTTAAGAAAGTCTTCAGAACATTTTTTAATGCCTATGAACTCTGACAGCAGCAGAGTTTCACACTCAGGAGCCTGGACGTCTGAACGATCTGAAATGTGTGCTTTCTATCTTAGTTGCGAATATTTAAAATCATGTTTCTGAATTGTTTCGAGCAGCTCCATTTTATGAATTTGTATTGATATAAATAGAAGACAAGAACGCCCGATAAACATTGATAAAATGTCACTTCTCTTTTCAGTGCATGCCTAAATGGAAAAAAAAAAGTTCTGGATAAATTAAAAGAAAGAAAACAAAAAGAGAAACCTGAAGCCAGTTGGATACATTTATTGCATATCATTTAATTGTATGAAATAAAAATAACGAGCACATATGAACGTCACATATGGTTAGTGAGTGGTATAATTTTGCACAGCAAAATATATTTATATATTTACTAGACTGATACCCATATTTTCAGGATTTAGAATTCTCACTTTTATACATGCAGGGTGACAATCCCTGAACTTATAACAATGTCCAGACATTATTGATTATATTAATATGAATTATTGCTTTGCAAACATTGACTTTCTTTTAAGACAATTTTCTTCTGATCTGATCTTTAAAAACGTTATGATGGAGGTGTAGCAGAAACAGATCTTTCTAATAAATGGATAAAACACCCAAAATTGATGACACAGGAGAATATCTTTAGTGCATTTCAGTCGGTTAGTTTGGTGGAGAAAGACATTTCCAAAAACATTAGAAAAGTCGCTTTGACTTGAGCAGAAAACTCGTTTTATTCTCCCACAACAGTTTTGTTTCTGATTTTCTAACCTTTTGCATTTTATTTGATTTTCATCAGTAACATTTATAAAATACAATAATTAAATATGTGGCAGAGACCAGAGCTCTTGCACTTGGCTTTAAAACGCATGCTGCAAAAAAAAAAAAAAAAAAAAAAAAAAAAAAGCGCTTTTTATGCACTGGACACTTTTTACTGCTGTCAAAATTGGAGCCGAGCCAATTTCTATAAATGCATCTTAAAACGACTTTTGTACAACATTTTGTAATATGCTTCAACCTGCAGCACATGTTTGCAACTAAGGGAATAAAACGTTGTCCTTAAATTAAATGCTTTATATTTACTCAAAAAAGACAAAAAAGCACAACTGAATATTTCTTAAATAACATTATATGCTTAAAGCAACAGGCTAGACTTCCAGGGAATGGACCCGTTGTTGTTTTTTCAATAAAAGTCTGTTCTTTACCCCCCCCCCCCCCCCCCCTTTGCACCAGGACCCCCTCCGACAAAAAAGTTCCATGAGGGATGCTGTGCGCGCGCCCTGCAGCCTAATGTTGGAGCACTTCAACTCAACTGAAATGCACTGATATACATTGCAGGGGGGGATGGGAGGGGGGGGGGGGTGTTTATAGGTGGGAAGTCCTGTCACTTTTTTTTTTTTGTCCCAAAATGTGAGGAGTCCCACCTAAAAAAGTTTAAAAAAAAATAATAATAATATGAAGTTATGAATGCCATGCTGGAGTCAAGTCATGTGACAGAAAAAGGATCTTCAAGCATAAAAATAACATAAAAATCCGTGCATGTCCAGCATGCAGCGACACATGTCACATAAAGTCATGACTACAGTCTCTGTTGCTGCTCAACACAATGAAAGAATGAGATGAGGTGGCGTCAAAACGGCAGAGTCCTCCAAGTTTGGCAGATAAAAAAAAAAAAAAAAAAAGTGGTGGGGGATGGATGTTTTCACAGTTTGTACACAAAAACAAAAGTCAAATGGTGTAAAAACTTAAAAGTAGTGCGTGCATGCACACTTCTTAGACTGCAACACAAAGTTTTTTTTTTTGTTTTTTTTTCAAAAATGAAACTGAAAATCAAACAAACTGTCGTGAAGGAACAGACATAATTGAAAATGAGAGCAATAAGGGTGGATGAACGTTTGCTTTAAAACACTTTTTTTTTATAAAACAAAAATGAAATAAAAATCACAGATGGGATGAGTCGCAGACTTGAGGAAATTGATGTTTTGTGGTTGTTTTGTTTTTTTCCCCAAAATTAAAAAAAGTAAAAAATAATAAAAAGTTGACAGATTAGTCTATTTGGCCTTGCGCAAAAAAAAAAAAAAAAAAGGTCGAAATAAAAAAAAAAAGAAAAAGTTTTAAGTAACTCGTTTGTTCGCGTTAACGTGAAGACTCACATGAAAAACTCCGGGGATGAAGGGTTGTTGTCACTGCTGGACCCGTTTTCTCTGAAGCCGTTGCTGATGAGCTTCTCATACTTTTCCTTGTACGCGTCCCTCTCCCGGACCAGCCTGGAGATCTCCTGCTTTAGGTGCTCGACCTGCTGCAGGAGCTGCGTCTTCTCCCCCTCCAGGACGTGCCGCTGCTGGACGCGCTTGAACCGACACGACTGCGCGTAGCCCCTGTTCTTTAGGGTCCTCCTCTTCTGCTTCAGTCTGATCACCTCTTCCTTGCTGACCCCCCGCAGCTGCCGGTTCAGCTCCCGCACGGACATGGTGACCAGCTGCTCGTCGGAGAAGCGATCATCCATGCGCATGTGGGGGTGACTCCCGGAAGAGCCGTTGGACTGGACGCCCGGCGCCTGGTGGTGGCTGCTGCTGTGGTGGTGGTGATGGTGGTGGTGCGCGCCGTTCTGGGCGGCCGCCGCGGCGATGACAGCTGACACCACTGCCGCGGCGGAGCCCATCTCCTCCCCGGCCATGGCGCCTCCTGCTCCGGCTGCGCCTGCGAACTGCTGGCCTCTGGCGTAGCCATCGAACGACTGGAGCTGGTGAGTGCTGTTGATGAGCGCTTCCACTGCGTCCTCCGGGCTGAAGCCCAGCGCCTCTGGATTCAGCTGCTGTTGGTAACCGGACATCCAGTAGAAATCCTCTATGTGCGTCTTCTGCTCGCTCCCCGAGCCCGGACTGGGCGCCGAGAAGCTCGGGGAAGGGGGCACCGAGCTGCAAGGCGTGCTCATCGGGGTGGAAGACAAGGATCCCCCGGCGATAAGGCGACTGCACTGGCTGATGTTGCGATCCGGCTCCACCGGCTCCTTTTTCACTTCAAACTTCATCAGATCGAAGTCATTAACATATTCCATGGCCAGGGGACTGGTGGGCAGGTCGGAGTTGCTCATTGCCAGCTCTGATGCCATCCTCTTGCTGCTGACAGTCCTCCAAACGGGGTGAAGCGCAGCTGTCAAACCGGGCTGGTTGGGAACAACGTGAGCCAGTTTGATGTTCTTTTTTTAAAGCGTTTGTCTTGAAACTGAAACCGGAGCTTTTCAGCGTCCCCCTTTTTCCGCAGCCGCGGACTTGCAGGCGTGTGCGAGGAGTTTGACTTTGCAGAGTCTAATGCACAGCAGTGCCGCGCGCACGAGTAGTGGAGTCCTTTTTTCAGCATGCGAAACACCGCGGGTTTGTGTTTCAAACATTTAACACTTTAGGTTCTTCGTCATGCAGGAGCGCATTGCGCGCAGCGGAGAGGAGGAAGGAGGAGAGAAAAAAATAAGAATTAAAAACGGAGCCAAACAGGAGTTGAAGGAGTGAGCGCAGCCTGAGAGAAGCCGCTGACGCGCGTGGGACGACTATTTAGTGGGATCACAGAGCAGATGAGTTTAAGAGCATTGTAGCTGCCCTGACGTCAGGATGGAAAAGGGAAATTGACTCGGACAAAGAGCCAATAGGGTCGCACACTCCGAGAGCTAATTAACATATCAGAAGCTGAACTGAAAGCAACTTTTCACGACTGTCAGAAGCCACCAGCTGACTGTCAGCTGGGAAACAGCTTCTGTTGCCTCAATGGCTGGAATGTACGTTTGTTTTTATATCCAACCACTTTTTATTAGAGTTTATAACCATAATGTAGAGTTGCATCAAAGAGCGCACCAAGTTTCTGAACAGATAGATAGATAGATAGATAGATAGATAGATAGATAGATAGATAGAT